CAAGGAAGCCCAAGAGGGGCCGCGTGGGGAGCGACCCCAAGGAGAGGTGTGGTCAGGGCCGTGGGCCCTGGTCAAGTGTGCTGGGTCAACTGTCTTGTGGCTTCGAGCGCTGGTCGCGGGTCCCTAGCAATGAAGACGCGGGAAGGTAACCCTTGTTCCTCAGATCGCCAGGAATACGCTACTAACCATCGTCCTCGTCGGTCTGGTAACTGGTGTTCTCTGAAATAAATACACTAGAGGCAGAGACAGGAGGACAAACAGGTGGGGTGGGGGGGGGGGAGTTGTAATAGCAAGGGCCGTAAGATATAATCAAAATATCAGATTCTAATGTCAGTGTCAATTCAATTATTTGCATGATTTTTCAATTTTTATTTATTTTTCAATAATGCACTGTCCAAGGATAGACAGAGAGGAGCATGCTTAGGGAGACAATTGCAATAGTCCGCAAGGACTTGCTTGAATTGCAATTGTCTCAGATAGCAGGAAAGGAAAATCTACAAGAGATAAGCATTGTGCAGAACTACAAAGGAAGCAAAAGGTGTCGCAGTCCGCAAGGACTTGTCTTGAACGACGAACTTCCTTGAAAAAAAAATGCAACAATGCAGACTTCAGAAGTGTGCAGTGCAATAGGGCATACGGTATACGTCTGACTAATAGTAGATGTATCTCATTTCAATGAAGTTGTCTGTCACACGTCACCAACAGCAATTTAAGGCAAAGCAATAATGAAAACAGGTAATGCTGTCCTCATACTTCGGGAGCGACTCATTACATTCATTACTCATTACTTTCTCAGGACAACGTATGCACGATAAAACGTATTGCAAGACAAGAATACACGGTTGGCGCAAGTCGATTATCTTCCGGAAACAGTACGCATGTAATTCTTGTGCAATTAACGGGTTTCTGCGAGACGATATGCGCATGTGGCTGCGTGAGTGCATAGACGAGTTGATTAATTTAATGGGTGGGAGTTATGAAATGAGTAGTCAGAGTATAGCACACGAGAAGAAAAATGTTGATAGATATATTTTAGTTTTTAGTCATTAGTAATTTGTTAAAGTAAGGACGAGAGTGAATAAAAAGGAATAGGATGGCATGGAAGTTGGAAGAAATAAGCGAAGGGGAGGAGTGGGTGGGCGGGAGGCTAAGGTAAAAGAGGTATGGGTGAGGATGGGGGAGTCAGCTATGTAGACGGGGGTGGCAATGTGGATTGCACGCAATGAAAACAATCACCGATCTGACTACACGAAAAAAAACATTCACACTAATAACAATGAACTTCCGTTAATTGCAATATTAATCAACTACTATGCGAAATCATAAAAATGGTACTTTAATTGGTCCATAAAATGAATGAAACGGTGACTGGTTTGGGTCAGCTTCCCTTATCTGACAGCCTAAAGACAACCCTCGTGGTTGTAAGTGATGCTTAAAATTAAAATAGATTCCCTGAGGAATAGTGATGAAGGGCCCAACCGTAGAAGGGATATCATCGAACGAACTCATACACAGAACGCAAATGGGTACCCATCTTGGGGAATACCAGCGATAATCTAACGTATAGCGATAAGAAGGTGCTGCGTGGCGCTGAGATCGCCTGGGCGATAGGTGTGCGACTCGGCACATGAGAACAACTTAACATTAATTACCTTAACCTAATTACATGCCCATACCCAGCTGGGGATCGTCACTAAGGACCATGTAATAATGATGAGGTGAAGTTCGTGATTAAGATAAGCGAAAATCACGAACAATATGAAATCGTAGTAGCTGTATAATATAATTAATCTCTAACACGAGATAACTAAATAAAAATTAAATACAAATAGCTTGAATGTATTTTTTGGTCGCGAGTCAGAATGGTTATAAGTACCTTCTACCTGGGTAAGGTCAAATGAGGTCGTTATTTGGACATTCACTAAAATAGTAATAGCTAGTAAATATAAAAATAAATAATATCGTGAAAAACAAGAACACAGTAATCTAGAAGTTAAATAATCAAATTACCAAGAAATGAACATGAATAATTAAAGAAAAAATATATCTATAAAGAAGACGAATAATTACGGCGAAACATACTTCGGAATATGCACAATATACTATAATAATAACAAAATCATACGATTTAATTCGATGAATTATGCTAGTATTATTATAGTTCCCAATATATTCATGCAAACTGGAAGTAAATTCATCACTCTATCGAAAATCGTCTTGTTATATAAATGAAACTAAATTTCAGAAAAAAAAATGTGGAAAATAGTACAAGGACAGGTCACAAAAGGTGAGATATGTCATTTATTGACAAGACCTGACCTTAGATGACCTGAAAAGCTATGTGTGGTCACTCGCAGTAGAAAACTAATATAACACTTTATGCATAAAAATACTGGAGTCGATATTCATATAAACATACAAATTAACAAGACACACTTTCTTGTATAAAATAGAATACAAAATAAAAAAATATAA